ATTATGATAATAACACTAAAACTAGACGGCAATCTGGCACTAGCTTTTACTTGCCGGAACCAGGAACTATACTACACAGTGTTGGCAAATACACCTGGGCTGTAGAGCATATGGGAAGAGAGGTACGGGTGCGACAAGATCGATTATTGCTATGCTCAGATCAAGATGAACTACCGCCAACCCCAGATCAGGCTGATATTACATCAGACAGTGATCTGGATGACATGTTACTATGCACAGATCAAGATGAGCTATCGTCAACCCCAGATCAGACCGACACTGAATCAGACAGTGATCTGGATGACATGTTACTATGCACAGATCAAGATGAGCTATCGTCAACCCCAGATCAGACCGACATTGCATCAGACAGTGATCTGGATGATATATTATAAGCACTGTCCAGATCAAACAAAAACGTCTTTTCGACTAGTATACTAACCCAATCCATATCTAAGAAGTCTAGAATTCGGTTACAAAAGAGTAGATTGTGTTTTTGATAATTTCCCAAAAAGGAAAAAAGAAAGCAAATGACGTCATCTTTCCTTTAGTTTGGTAGACAATTTCAAAATAGTCGAAAAATAGTGCGAATTCGAATGGGTTTAGTATTTCTATGTATAATGTCCCAAATAAAGCATCTTTATTACTTTCTGTCCCACCCGCCACGAAATTCCTAATACTAACCCAAAAGTGACAAGGTTCACTTCTAGCAAAGGAAATTGTCTAGTACTGCTTTGGCATTGGGGCTTTATAGCTTCCCACAATTATTATCTAAATATAGATTCTAATCGGCCATAAACAGAGCCAACTTCATACTCAAATCCAAATCACGTTGTATATTTCAAGTATTGCCACGTGCTCTGAAGTGTACCTACCACGATATGGGCGCAAGATGTACTCTGGCTTCTAAAGAGCTTAGTGCTCCAAAAGACCTATGCCCGGCAGTATCAAGCTCGCCCATATAAAGATTCATTGGCGGGTGTTCTTGCTACGCAACACACATGCTTTGGAAACATAAAGAGATCAAACTATCTTGGTTTATTTGAATCTGTAGTGGAAGGTAGTGATTTGTTAAGTTAAAATTCCAAGATGGTTGCACTCTAATCAGAGCCTCCATTTATCACTAGTCGGTGCAGGATTATAGTGTCTGAGGAGTAGGCGCTTCAAAGAATAGTTGTTCGGTTAGATGCTAGGCGCCGGGTCCTGGTTTAGGCTACAGCCTATGACTAGACCAAGATAAATCATCCAGAGAGGAAAAGTTGCTTCATAGCATTCCACAAGATCTAGAATCCGTTCTATATTAGTTTCCAAGTCTAATGTTAAGTCCAGTAGCTCCAATGCCGTGTTCACCTTATAAGAATAGTCTATCTGTTTTTGGAGCTTGAGTGCAAAATTGCCTTTAAGGGATTCAAAGAAGCCATGAATATTCTTAAGAAGAGCGAGGACACAATTGACTTCATCTAAGATCTTTTTGGAAACGGTTGAAAAATAAGCCATATACGCTTTGGTGGTTAGTAGTTTGCTAGGTTTCTGTTCGAGCGCATTGACAGCTATATCGGCCTCATCTAAAATCTTATTGATCTTATCCAGGTGGCTTGGCTGTAGAGGAACCAAATAACTAATCCAGTCCAGCAAGAAAAGCAAGCTTTCAATTGGTATAGTGTCATCTTCTAGATTGCTTAGATTTTGTTTATCTCTATAATCAAATAGCTTCGAGCGAAGTTTATGGCAGCGGTCAGCAAAGCCACCAAGATTAACAGCCATAGAAACATTCTGAATTATTTCCTTGGTTATATCCTGACGATCCTTGTTCTTTTGAAGGGGATTATTATTGCTACTAGATTCGTATGCCGCAACTTTCTTGTTAATTTCGTCGAGCTTTGAAGTAGACAGGGACTGGCACATCCATTGATAAGGACGAGCAAAGTAGCTAATGATTCTTGCCCACCGCCCGTCCTGATCGTTCTTGCCAGGGAATTCTTTCTCGAAAATCAGATTATCAAAAGCGGCCTTGTGCAACCACGAGGAAATCGATGCGACACTGTCGACTTTTTCAACATTGTATGTCAAACAAGGCTTAAGAATCATATTAAACAAAACCTTATTATAAATATGCGCGCTATCTATAGAGGAGGCCTGTTGGTTGAGTAGGTCTGCCATGGCATTCTCTACAATCTCCTGAGCAAACATATTCCCGGATAGTCCTAATTGGTAGTAAGACTGGAGGGTTTTCTCATTAGAAGTTTCCAGGATGTTCGTATCTTCATCACATATGCTTTGTTGCTGGGCACTGTCGGGTGCTTGTTGAGCATTGCCAGGTGCCTGCTGTACCATTGGCTGTAGTGGTGCTGGTTGAGCATTGTCGGGTTCTTGTTGTAACATTGGATGTAGTGGTGGTTGTTGAGTATTGTTAGATGCTTGTAGTGGTGGTTGCTGACGCTTAAATAGGCCGAATGGCAGAGAGTTCGTGAAGTACATCTGACATAGGACATACCCAGCCCATGCTGCCAATAAAATACATGCTAACCCAACAGCAATTAATATTATGCTTGTTCGTTTGATATTGGAACTCATTAATAAATTTCAAAATTATAGTATAGATATATAAATTCAAAAGAAATTTGATTAATCAAAATTAATACAAAGATTTATTCATACCCCTGGCTGCAGATCGGGTTAGTATTATCTAAGAAATTAGCATGTCTTTATGTCCCAGGATCTCATTATTATACCATAAATGGAGGCCGCTTTTGCACTATATTATGTAGAGTCTATGTCTACGCATTCAAAGCCAGTCTTTTTATCTCACAACTTAAAATAGACAATAGCTCGCAACTGGACAAACTAGCTTAAATTAGACACAGACCATCTGTCTGTCTATATTCAGAAGCAATTGAGAGTAATTCAAGACTAAACACTAAATACTCGGCCAAGACAATACTAATTTCAAGAGATGTATTATAATATGCACAACAACGCGCAAAACCACCGATAGTCTACTAAGACGGCAAAGGAGAACAATAAAAGGCCACTGTAGCTTAGATAGTGCCAGTATAGCATCACTAGTTTCTTTTAATGAGGGTAAGTTAGTAGTTGGCTTATCTATTAGCTAGCAACCACGGATTAAGCCACATGAAATGCTCCTGGAACTTTAGTATTTGAAGCTAAAGAGCCTGTAACCATTATGCTTTTTTATCTTATCTTAGCTTCGGTATGACGTCATTCTATCTCATATATCCATATTTATATAATAAAAGGTGCAGATGCCCACATCAAGGAGTGCCTTTAATGAAACTTGCATTAACCAATGGATGCTATCCATCTTCATGAATATTATATTGGGTTTATTTGAGCTGTAATGTAGCGGTTTACTCAAGCTGATAAGTGTAAGCATAAATTCATGCCAGAGACATTGTTCAAAATAAATGGGCTTATCTAGATCATGCTTGCAGTAAGTTTAAAATCTAAGGCTAGAGAGTTCGAGCTGGTTAGTTTGAGTCAGGCCCTGAATACCAATGATAATTTTCGAAACGTAGATGCCTCGATGATTAACACCACTGAACACTACTATTTATCTCCCACTTGCTAGATTAGGTTAGGCTTTGGAGCAATAACATCCAAATCCGTGTTATTAGCTTGGGCAGGGCCTGTCGGTTTAGTAAGGCTATCATATAAACCGAGACAAATCCACCAGCCAGGAAGGGTCTTTTTATAACACCGGATGTTATGGAGAGTTAGACATTGGTTTTTATCGAAACTTAAAGTTGGGTCTGGCTGAACCCAGGCCTTCTTCAGTATTCGGGATGACTGAAATGTTATCTTTGGGCTGGTATTGGGTAGGCGCAGTACCGCTCGATAAAACCCATGCACAGACGCAAGTAAATTGAGAATCACATTGATTTCGTTCTGAATTAGATCAACAACATTTGAAAAGTGTCCTATATAGGCTTCATAGGTCAGCTTCCTGGCGGGGTCTTGTTCAAGTTGAGAAATAGCATTTTCAACTTTATCTAAAACTGCAGTGATGGCCATATGGTTATCTGGTGATAGCGGAGCCAAATGAGTGATCCAATCTAGAGTGAATAGAAGGGTCTCAATTGGCGCCATGCTATTAGTTGGCTCGGATATACAGTATTTCGTTTTATAGCAAACTATCCGTGAATAGCTCATTTTGCATTGAGTTGTGAAGCCGCCTAACCCGGCCGACGCGGCAATGTTCTGGATAAGTTCTTTGGCGATGATTTGGCGCAAATCCTTCCTGTCTTTGGATTCGCATGCATGAACATTATAATCACAAAGATAAAGCTTGACCTTGCCGTAAATCCCGCTTAATTTCGGAATGGACAGGCAATGACAAAGCCATGCATACTGGCAACTAAAATCATTGATAAGCCTTAACCACAATATGTCATAACTTTCCCCTGGTGGGAATATTAAGTGGGGTTCTGGGCCCTCTTTT